TTTCTTTATCTAAATCACTTGATACCCTCATCACCTTTACTCTTTTCTATGTTCACTTTCAACTTTCTACCTTTACACACACTCCCAAGTTCGTCCACTAACCTTTGCAATTTTTCTTTAGAATCTCCCATAAGCAAAAAGTAACTGTGTCAATTCCCATTTTGTATTTGAGTCCCCATAATTTAATCCCACCCTTCCCCCAAACACCATAGCATTTACTTCTTTTACAACCCCATCTATAAATATATTAAACAACCATGGTGACATTACACATCCCTGTCTAAGACTTACTTTTACCGGGAAGTAGTCTCCCTCTCTTCTACACACCCTAACCTGAGCCTCACTGTCCTCATAAAAACTCTTTACAGCATTTAGTAACTTACCACCTATTCCATATACAGTGGACCCCCGGTTAACGATATTTTTTCATTCCAGAAATATGTTCAGGTGCCAGTACTGACCGAATTTGTTCCCATAAGGAATACTGTGAAGTAGATTAGTCCATTTCAGACCCCCAAACATACACGTACAAACGCACTTACATAAATACACTTACATAATTGGTCGCATTGGGAGGTGATCGTTAAGCGGGGGTCCACTGTACTTGCAACATCTGCCACATTGCTCCCCTATCCACTCTATCATATGCCATTTCTAAATCCATAAATGCAATAAAAACTTCCCTACCTTTATCTAAATGCTGTTCACATATATGCTTCAATGTAAACACTTGATCTACACACCCCTTACCCACTCTAAAGCCTCCTTGCTCATCAGCAATCCTACATTCTGTCTTACCTCTAATTCTTTCAATAATAACCCTACCATATACTTTTCCTGGTATACTCAGTAAACTTATTCCTCTATAATTTTTACAATCTCTGTTGTCCCCCTTCCCTTTATATAAAGGGACTATACATGCTCTCCGCCAATCCCTAGGTACCTTCCCCTCTTTCGTACATTTATTAAACAAAAATACCAACCACTCCAACACTATATCCCCCCCTCCTTTTAACATTTCTGTCATGATCCCGTCAGTTCCAGCTGCTTTACCCACTTTCATTCTACGTAATGCCTCACGCACCTCCCCCGTTCTTCTTCACTCCTAAAAGATGGTATACCTCCCTTGGCTAGTGCATGAAATTACCGCCTCCCTTTCTTCGTAGACATTTAAAAGTTTCTCAAAATATTCTCGCCATCTACCCAATACCTCCATCTCCCCATCAACTAACTCCCCTTTTCTGTTTTTAACTGACAAATCCATTCATTCCCTAGGCTTTCTTAACTTGTTTAACTCACTCTAAAATTATTTCTTTTTTTATTTTTGTTCAATAAATGCATGAAAGATGGAAAGGTACCAAGTGACTAGTAGAGAGCATGCATAGTTTCCTTATATAAGGGAAAGGTGGACAAGATGGAAAGCAGGATCCCAGATAAACAAGGAGGCTTTAGAATGGGTTGGGGATGTGTAGACTTAATGTTTACATTGAAACATAAGTGAACAATATCTACATGAAGGTAGGGAATTTTTCGTTGTTTTTTATGGATTTAGAAAATCCATATGATAGGGTGGATAGGGAAGCAATGTGGCAGATTTTGCAAGTGTGTGGAATAGGTGTTAAGTTACTAAATGCTATAAAGAGTTTTTATGAAGATAGGATCAAGTTAGGGTATGTAGGAAAGAGGGAGATAGTTTTCCAGTAAAAGTAAGCCTTAGACAGGGATGCTTGATGTCACCATGGTTGCTCCACATACAGTAGAACCTCAGTGTTCTAACGTACTGGAGTCCAAACAATTTTGTTCAGAGAAAACTGACCTGGTCTTTGAACATTTTTCTGAAGTCCGAACATGTCAGCTCATTTACAAGTCAGTTTTAAAAACTTAACCTGAAAGCCCTGTTTCAAAAGTGCTTTAAAGTGACCTCTGATACTGACCTAACTCTCAGACTTTTGGAAGAGTCAGTCCAACATCCTCCAGCGTGTGAGGCTGATAATAATCAGAGCCTGGAAAATACTCTTTCAGACATCAAACTTTTCAGTTCGAATAATACTTAGGAACTAATTAAATTCAAACACCAAGGTTCCAGTGTATTTATAGATGGGGCTATGAGAGAAGTGAATGCTCTGGTGTTGGAGAGAGGCTGAGATTAAAATATGTGGAATCAAATTCAAAATGGGAGTTGACACAGTTACTTTTGCTGATGATACTGTGCTTCTGGGAGATTCTGAAGAGAAGTTGCAAAGGTTAGTGGACGAGTTTGGGAGGGTGTGTAAAGGAAGTTGACAGTGAACACAGATAAGAGTAAGGGGATGAGGGTATCAAACTAGTTGGGTATGGAAAAATTGGATATCAGATTGGTGAGAAGGAGTATGGAAGTAAATATGTTCAGATATTTGGGAGTACCTCCATGGGAAAGTAGAACAGAATTCTTCCTCTGTAAGCCATGCGTGCCATAAGAGGCGACTAAAATGCCAGGAGCAAGGGGCTAGTAACCCCTTCTCCTGTATAAATTACTAAATTTAAAAAGAGAAACTTTCGTTTTTCTTTTTGGGCCACCCTGCCTTGGTGGGATATGGCCGGTGTGTTGAAAGAAAGAAAGATTTGGGAGTACACATTTCGGCAGATATTTTTATGAGAGATGGGGTAAACCACATAATTGATGAATGGGAAAAAAGTGGGTGGTGCATTGAGGTATCTGTGGAGACAAAGAACATTATACATGGAGGCAAAGAAGGGAATGTATGAGAGTATAGTGGTATCAACACTTATATGGGTGTGAAGCACAGGTTGTGAATGTTGCAGCAAGGAGGAGGCCAGAGGCAGTGGAGATGTCATGTCAGAGGGCAATATGTGGCATAAATATTATGCAGAAAATTCGTAATTTGAAGATTAGGAGACATACCTGGAGAGGGTTTCAGGGGTCAACGCCCCCACTGCCCGGTCTTGTCATGGATCGGGCCTGATCAACCAGGCTGTTAATGCTGGCCACATGTAGTCCAATGTACGAGCCACAGCCTGGCTGATCAGGTACTGACTTTAGGTGCCTGTCCAGCACCTTCTTGAAAACAGCCTGAGGCCTATTGGTAATCCCCCCTTATGTATGCTGGGAGCCAGTTGAACAGTCTTGAGCCCCTGACACTTATTGTGTTGTCTCTTTGTGTACTCATGGCATCCCTACTTTTCATTGAGGGGGGGGGTATGGTGCATCTCCTGCTGAGCCTTTTGCTTTTGTAGGAAGTGATTTTCATGTGCAAATTTGGGACTAGTCCCTCTAGGACTTTCCAAGTGTATATTGTCATGTATCTTTCTTGCCTGTGTTCCAGGGAACACAAATTAAGGGACTTCAACCGTTCCTGGTAATTTAGGTGCTTTATTGTACTTATGCATGCTGTGAAAGTTCTCTGTACATTCTCCAGGTCAGCAATTTCACTTGCCTTGAAAGGGGCCATTAGTGTACAGCAATATTCCAGCCTAGAGAGAATTAGCTATTTGAAGAGAATCATCATGGGCTTGGTATCCTTAATTTTGAAGGTTCTCATTATCCATCCTATCATTTTCCTAGGAGATGTGGTAGATACGTACAGTGTTGTGATCTTCAAGAGTGAGATCCTCTGACATTATCACTCCCAGGTCCTTCACATTAGTTTTTCGCTCTATTGTGTAGTAGGAATTTGTTTTATACTCCGATATATTCCTCAAGTTTTCCATATCAGAGTAACTGAAATTTCTCTTCATTGAACTTCATATTGTTTTCTGCGACCCATTTCAAGATTTGACTGATGTACGCTTGGAGTTTTGCAGTGTCTTTGATGGATGACACTGTCATGCAAATTCAGGTGTCATCTGCAAAGGAAGATATAGTGCTGTGGCTTACATCTCTGTCTATGTCAGATATGAGGATGAGGAACAGAATGGGGGCGAGTATTGTGCCTTGTGGAACAGAGCATTTCACTGTAGCCACCTCAGACTTTACTCTGTTTACTACTACTCTTTGTGTTCTATTTGTTAGGAAGTTATAGATACATCGACCAACTTTTCCTGCTATCCTTTATCACGCATTTTGTGCACTATTACACCATGGTGCGGAATTAATAAAAGCTTTATCCAGAGGGCTGAGGAGGGGTTGTTGAGGTGGTTTGGTCATTTAGAGAGGATGGAGCAAAATACGATGACTTACAGGGTGCACAAATCCATTGTGGAGGGAAGGTGGGGTAGGGGTTGTCCTGACATACAATCAGCCTCATACATAGGCTCATTGCATGTCAATGCCTGATATACAATCAATCTCATTAACACTCCCCATAAGCTGTCTAATGCAAGGTAAAATGATGCAAGATTTAAAATTCATCGATTTATTTATTATTTTCAGCTCAACACTTTCTCTTGCAAACACCAGGGAACATGCTACCAGTGAGGTATTTTTTCCTAATTATTTTTTATTTTAGAATTTCCTAATTTTGGTTAATTTATGGTAACCCAACCTTACCTAAAATTATGTATGCAGAGAAGTCAGCTAAAGGCCATACTGTAGGAAAACAAAACTGTGCCTTGGGACACACTGCTGTCTGAGCATGAACAAAATTCTTACAAATCAAAGAATATTGTACATAGAGCACCAGTGGCTCTCTGAGGGTGACTCTGAGGGTGACCTGTGGCTCAGCTGACAGTGCATTAACTCACATACTGAGTGACCGTTATTCGATCCCTGGCACAGGTAGAAATGTTGGGCATGTTTCCTTACACCTGCTGCCCTTGTTTATCTAACAACAAGTAGGTACGTGGATGTTAGTCAACTGCTGTGGGTTGCATTCTGGGTAACAAGATTTAAGACCCCAATGGAAATAAGATGGACAGTCCCCAATAATGCACTGACTTCGTTGGGTTATCCTGAGTGACTAACTCTTTGGGTTAAAGGACCATCTTACACAATACTTTACATAACAAAACACAGACCAACACTAAGCTGGGTGCAGTGCAACTACAACTGCCACAATACTCACCATCCAGATAAAGGTCACTTCCCAGCTGCCTATCCATCCAGAAGATTGAAGCGATTGGTCCTGAAACACACACACACAAAAAAAATAAAATTCAGCCTCACAGAACCTTTGATAAAAATTGCAAAATATTCAAAGCAAGTTAATGACAAAATCTAAGCAATGCTGAAGATATTTTGCTCGGTACCCTGTACTGACCACTCAAAATCAGCACTAAAAAAACAAAGATCTGTTGCAATTTAACCAAACTAATTTTAAAATCATCTATATATCATATTATTATTTAAAATAAAAAAAATAGTTAAGGTTCACTGTGACAGTTCCTGACAGTTTAAATAACTTGTTACCTTTGTTGTCAGTTCATAAATTTGTAAATACTGTAGTTCATTACTACTATAATTATGTTGGTTCTTGGACTCATTATGTTCCTCTGTAATCTTGTGACTACCCACCCACAGAAAGGGTATGTTGTGACTACCCACCCACACAAAGAACATGGGGGAATACCATCCACAGGATGGGTATGTTGTGACTACCCACCCACACAAAGAACATGGGGGAATACCATCCACAGGATGGGTATGTTGTGACTACCGACCCACACAAAGAACATGGGGCAAAACCATCCACAGGATGTGTATGTGATGACTACACACTCACAGGAAGAACATGGGGCAATGTCCTCCACAGGATGGGGATGGCATGACTACTCCCTATAGCAGGGGTTGGCAACCTTCTGAAAACAGAGGGCCAGACAGCTATGCAGTCTCTTGGAGAAGGGCCATGTTATTAAATGTAATATAAAAAAAATTTCTTGAACTCAGGGTTGCCATTAGTTTTTAAACCAATTTTGGCTTAATCCTAATAATACTTAACACAATTTATCACAAATAATTAAAGAAACATTATTATCAAATGCAGATACCTACTGTACAGCTGTTTTACCACCAGACAACAAACTCGAATGAAAAACTCTGAGGGAGGAGGATACGAAGTAACTTTTCCAGGGGCTGCTTAACCTTGAAGTGAACTACTGCATCTGTATTCAATACTAATTAGATAATTAGTGTCCAAATGTTAAGCTGGCGGGCCAGACGAAAACATCACACGGGCCGGGTGTGGCCCACAGGCCAGGGGTTGCCGACCCCTGCCCTATAGGATGCATATGGGACACAGCATGCATACGAGCCCAATGGATGAATATGGACCTACAGAATGGGTATGGTATGGTTACTGCCCAAAGAATGAATATAGGGCACACACTAAAGTTATTAAAATAACTAAATCAAACTAGTTTAATCTAAATTTACCAGACAGATGGAATGCACCACAGTAAATCATTTAGCATTTTTTTTTTACAAACAAATTTTCCAATTTTTTTTTTTATAAAATTTTTACAGGTATTGTATGACCCAGGTCAAAGAGTAGTAGTTTCAGTTCCTTGGATCAAGCATTTCATAAGCCAGAACTAAAATTACAGGGCTGGGGTCATATAGCACATATCCTGAACTATACATGTCTTTTTCCACTCGTTGGTATCACCACACCATTTCTCGTACAGTAGACCTATATGGATTATACAGCACCTGGGAAATAGCATGCAATCACTTTTGATCCAAGGAAGAGGAGGACAAGTACAGTTCCCTGGATGAAGAGCCCTATACACACCTGGATCAGCCAAGCCAGTAGTCTCCAGGAGGATGTAGTCAAACTTGCCTCGCTTCCTCATCAGGTTCTCAATGGCCTTAACACCTTTATCTCTGAAAGATATATCAAAATGTAATTGATGATCATGATACGTAAGACACTTCAAGTGGCAATTATTATTATATGCAAGGGCAAGCAATAAGCTTGTAAATTATTATGTATTATTATTATTATTGTTGTTATTATTAGGGTAGCACTAAACCCATATAAGCCATTAACATTAATATGAAGAGGGTCACAAAGCATCTGGGAAATGAGTGGTATACAGTTTTGATCTGGGGAAGGGTGGGATAGCTACACTTACTTGGATAAAAGAACCCTTTCCCACCATTAAGGACTCCTCTTGAAAGGGGCAAGGTTTCAGCCCAGTGACTGCACAAACATCACCAAGACTTCAATTTACCTTTTCACCAACACTCAAAAATACTTCTAATCTCTAAGCTATTAAAATGAACTAGGGTGCTTGGAGAATGTATATAATACTATAACTCATTGCCCATTCTTCACACCTTCCACTGTCTACAACTGATTCGTCCAGGTTAAGGGACTTATCATCTTAAACTATTCTCCATATCTTCCACCATATTACTCTCAGTACTGGACTGATAAAAGACACTGGTGGATGAAACATCTCCACAATAATTTCAAGTGTTGGATGTATGTCTTATTCATCAACTTGTTGATTTTGTATGTTTTGTATACCACTGATTTTTTTTAACATGCTGGCCATCTTTTAAAGTAGAAAACACACTCACTGTCACTCATTCAATCACTGTCTTGCCAGAAGCATGATAAAAAGCTCAGACCATCCTCCAAAAGGAAACATCCCCATCCCTTCTCCAGAGTGCAGGCACTGTACTTCCCACCTCCAGGACTCAAATCAGGCTAACTGGTTCCCATGAATCCCTTCATAAATGTTACCTTGCTCATATTTCAACAGCATGCCAAATAAAAAAAAAAAACACTTGCCTCTACATACTCCTATCTAACACACCTGTTGGATGTCCAACCCCCTGGCACTAAAAACCCTTTTCAACCCCTCCCTCCAACCTTTCCTAGGATAACCCCTACCCTTCCTTCCCTCCATCCCAGATTTATATGCCCTCTTAGTCATCCTACTATTCTCCATCCTCTCTAGATGTCCAAACTACCTCAACAACCACCTCCATAGTCTTCTAAACAATATTTCTGATAAATCTACACCCCTCATTATCACCAAACTCTAAATTCTCTGCATAATATTTACAACGCACATTGTTCTCAAACACATTTCTACTTCTCTAGCCTCCTCCTCCTCACTGCAACATTTAAAACCTATGCTTCACACCCATACAAGTGCTGGTACCACTATACAGTGGACCCCTGGTTATCGGCCGGTTTGGTCATCGGCCAACTCAGTTATCGGCGTTTTTTTCGGCGCCCAATTATCGGCCGTTCACTTGGTTATCGGCGGTTTTGGACACATCCATCCGCCGGCTGGGGCAGCTTGCACTTCAGTTTGACTTTGTCTCTCGGTGGCTGAGGAGGCTTCTGCTCATACATCCAAACATTTCACTTGTTTAAAATTGTTTTTAGTGGCTTTTCTTGCAGTGCAACTGTGAAATAAGTAACCATTGCTCCAAAGAAAGTTCCTAGTAAAGTTCCTGTGGTAAAGAAAGTGAGAAACACCATGGAATTTAAGCGTGAAGTGATCGAAAAGTTTAAGAGTGGTATGAAGGTGATGGAACTTGCCAGGATGTACAGCAAGAATAAATCAACAATTGCATCCATCCTGGCAAAGAAAGAATAAATCAAAGATGCTAATGTTGCAAAGGGAGTAGCTTTTCTAACTAAACAAAGGACACCGATAATGGAAGAGATGGGAAAGTAATTATTATTGTGGATTAAGGAAAAAGAATTAGTGGGAGACAGTGTAGTGGAGTCTACTATTTGTGAGAAGGCAAAGCAGTTGCATAAGGATCTTGCAAAGAAAATGCCTGTAACAAATGCTGCTGTTTGTGAATTTAGGGCCAGCAAAGGATGGTTTGATAGATTTAAGAAGCGTAGTGGCACACACAGTGTTGTAAGGCATGGTGAGGCTGCAAGTTCTGACAAAGGTGCAGCTGAAAAGTATGTTCACGAATTCCAGGACTATGTAAAGGCTGAAGGATTCGAACCCCAACAAGTTTTCAATTGTGACAAAACAGGCCTGTTTTGGAAGAAAATGCCAAAGAGGACCTACATTACCCAGGAGGAAAAGGCACTGCCAGGACACAAGCCTATGAAAGACAGGTTTACTCTTTAGTTGTGTGGTAACACTAGTGGGGATTTCAAAGTGAAGCCTTTACTTGTGTATCACTCAGAAAATCCCAGAGTGTTTAAGAAAAACAATGTCATGAAGAATAGATTGTGTGTGATGTGGAAAGCTAATCATAAGGCATGGGTCACAAGGCAAATTTTCAAAGACTGGGCTAATGATGTGTTTGGCCCAAGTGTGAAAAAATACCTCCTGGAAAAGAAATTGCCGCTCAAGTGTCTCCTATTACTACTGGACAATGCTCCTGCACATCCTCAAGACTTGGAAGACCAAGTGTTTAGGGACTTCAGTTTTATAACAGTGAAGTTCTTGCCTCCTAACACCACTCCTTTCCTCCAGCCCATGGACCAGCAGGTCATTTCTAACTTCAAAAAGCAGTGTTTCAAAAGTGCTTTGAAGTGACCTCGGACACTCAGTTGACCCTAAGACAGTTCTGGAGGAATCACTTCACTATCCTCCATTGCATAAGCCTTATAGGTAAGGCTTGGGAGGGAGTGACTTCCAGGACGTTGAACTCTGCTTGGAGAAAACTGTGGCCAGATTGTGTCCAAGAGAGGGATTTTGAAGGGTTTTGAGACTCACTGTGACCTTGACCCTGCTGACCCTGTGGACTCTATTGTGTCTTTGGGGAAGTCCCTGGGGTTGGAGGTGAGTGGTGCGGATGTGGAAGAGTTGGTGGAGGACCACAGGGAAGAGCTTACCACTGAAGAGCTGCAAGAGCTTCAACTTCAACAGCAACAGACTGCAGCTGAGGAACTTGCTTCAGAGGAGGAGGAAGATTAAAGAGGTGTGTGCAATGTAGACCAGGGTGCAAGCTTTTGTAGAGAAACACCACCCTGACAAAGCTGAAACAAGCCATATCTGCAACATGTTTTGTGACAAAACAAATTCTGGCCACAAAATAGAGCGAAACACCAACGTCAAAGACCTGGGAGTGATCATGTCGGAGGATCTCACCTTCAAGGACCATAACATTGTATCAATCGCATCTGCTAGAAAAATGACAGGATGGATAATGAGAACCTTCAAAACTAGGGAGGCCAACCCAGATGACCTCTTCCCCCCTTGCTATCACGGAATAGTTTCCACTCACACCTTTAAATAAATTCCCCAAAAATTCCTTTTTCACCCATAACAATAAAACCTCTTCTCCTTTATTTTAAACCTTTTTCCCCGGAATGCGGGAGGGAAGATACAGTTATATACACGGAAAATCCTAGAGGGACTATACCGAATTTGAACGAAAATCATCATGAAAAGCAAAAGACTTGGCAGAATAAACCACCCCCCCAAGAAAGCGGGTGCACTACATTAAAGGGCCCATACAAAGGCCGGGGGCCGGACGTTCAACTGCTCCAGCCACATAAGGGGTTTTACCAACAACCCCGGCGTCTTCAAGTGCACTGGACAAGACCAAAAATCAGTTCCTGATCCCCCGGGCTGGGGGTTGTATTGGTTTGCATGCAGCCAGCAGAAACAGCCGGTTGCAGGCTCTGTCCACCAGGGGGCCCCTGGTCCAGACCGGGCCGCGGGGGTTAAACCCCCGGAACCCCCCCCCCGGAAACCCAGGTAAAAAAAACCCCTGCCCCACTTCGGGGAAATTTTTATAGTCCAAAACAGGCACTCTGGACATTATTCTGTGAGCGGGGCCCTTTGGCTCTCAAGTGGTTCTAAGAAAATGATTTCGTTGGGTTTTTAAAAACCCCGGAGGGTTGTCACCCAGAAAACCCCAAGAAAGTCAGTGCATCAGGGAGGACGTCAATTTTTTCCCATTGGGGTCCTCAATTTGTCCCCCAGGATGCCCCACACCAGTCACTAACACCCAGGTACCTTTTTGCTGCTGGGTGAACAGGAAAAAGGTTAAGGAAACATTCAAAATTTTCCACCTGTTGAGAATGCCCCCGGGCCCTCCGTGGTAAACCCGGGGAGCTTTACCCACCAGGCCACCGGCCACCCAAGTGCATTAAAGACAGAAAAGGGGAAGTACCCCAGAAAAAAGCATTACGTGGACCCCCCATAACGATAAAAACCGCCCCTGAGAGCTCTTTTTATGCGAAATTATCGTTAGAGAATGAATTTTCCCCCCATAAGAAAAGGAAAATCAAATTAATCCGTGCAAACACCCTAAAGTATGAAAAAAAATTTTTTCCCCACATAAAATTTTTAATTTTAATACCAAACTGAAAAAACTGCACGTTACATGACACTTACCTTTATTGAAAATCTGGGATGTTGTGGGAGGGGGAGGGGAGAGCTTAGTGTTTAGAAGGGAATCCCTTCCCCTTAAGATGAGGGGTCGTCCTTTTTGGGGGTTTTTCCCCTTTTTCTTTAATGCCACTAGGACCATTCAGAGTCATGGACTTCTGTCGCACAACATATCTTCCATAGAGGCCCGAACCCCCCTTCCTTTTTTGACTTTTTTAAAGTGGGTTTACAACTTGTCGTGTAATAGTCACCAGAGGCTTGCAATGCGTTGGGGGGATTGTCATCAAAAAGGTTTGACTTTTAAACCCCATTCCACACATTTCCTTAAACTTTGAATTTGGCAACTTTTTTCAAATTTCTTCCCCCTCCCCCCCCCGAAACGTTTCCCCCAGGTGTGGCCTCATGCTGAGAAAAGGTTTAGCAGCTCCATGGTTTTTCTTCATTGTCCCCTCCACCAACTCTTCCACACTCCCCACTAACCCCCAAACCCCCAAGGTTTTTCCCAATCCCACAAGGATTCCTCAATGCATGGTTTCCCAGGGTTAGCCTAAA